GAACAGAGAAGAGTTGCAAGAGATGAGCCACCTGGGCATGCAGATGGAGACCCCAGAAGGGCCCCCGCAAGGGCAGAACGAAACCTTCACTAAAGGTTCTTCTTCTTGCAAGAAAAACATGAAGACAATATACACATGTACCTAATTTTACTGACTCAGACGAGACCCCTAAGATTCCCCTGTTCTACTCCAGCCAGATCCTTAGTTTGAAAGTACTAAGAAAAATACATACCTGATTTTTGGGAAACACTTTTGGGAAATTAAGCAGTTCATAAGCTGCTGTTCTGATAATGAAAGGATCTAAGATTCTGATTTGATATGGTTTATAGATCAGGTTTAAGGCTGGTTTTTTCCAAAAACCATTAGTGTTCTGAAATAAAGCAAGAATATAGAAAATAAAACATTGTGGTTGTCTTTTGTTACAGAAAACAACAATTAAGGTAATCAGAAGGGAGATCAATCTTGCCAACTTACTATTTTGCCACCCGTCAACAATTCCCACAGCCACTTTAAATCGTGCGGCTTAAAAGCAGTGAGAATCGCTGTGGTGTTAGGATCATTGTGTTTGGGATCTGAAAAAACAGATTCTGGATAAAAAAGTCGGAAGGTTGTTCTTCTCCCAACTTCCTCTTCATGTCCTAAAACAGGACCATTATTCATTCTGTGGACAGAAAAACACAAGATATGTAGACCCAAGTGCAGTATGAGCTGTTTCCACCAGTTCCCAGAGGTATCTGTCCGACAAACATCTGCCATGTGTCCAGTGCTCTAATGGCATAAGGCAATCAATCTTTCACACATAACGGCCAAGGAAATAATTCCCTTTCATGAAACAGCTGCTTGATCAAAGCAGAAACTTGCAGTTGTATTTGAAAATTGGTTGTGGTGTTACTGGTAATTCAGTCTTACTCCAGGGACACTGGAGGCAAATAAATCATGGGAACGTAAGAACCACAATACTACGAGAACTTGAAAGACATCCCAACAAAACACCTTGGATATACAGATAAGAGACCTGAGGTCCAGAGAAAGTTACTTGCCCGAGGTGACACAGTCATGTAGCCCGTAGGCATGTGTCTAAGTGACTGACAGGCAAGAATCACATTTAAGGTGAAGACCCATCAAAACTGTTATGCTCTGAAATAAAGTAACAATATAAAATTGCTGTTTTATACCTAACCACAACCAAACGAATGTCTATTGCTAGAATTAACTAAAGAACCACATAGAATCGGTTGGGTTTGTGTGTGCTCAAAGCCAAGGTTAGACATGCACTATTTATGCAGACACTCTGAAGGCATGCTATTAAGAGAAATGCTTTGTTTCCTAAACAGTGTGCCCTAGGAGAATAAATACTCTTCTACCCTTTGCTACTGTCTGTGTAATAAAAAGACAGTCTTAACACCTGAAATGACTTTGGAATGTTGTGCCCAGGGCATTTTCCCACAAGGGCTTGCTGTAGTTCTAGGTGATCAGGTTTTAGACCAGAGGTTCTCAACCTGTGGGTCGCGACCCCTTTGGGGGTCGAACGACCCTTTTACAGGGGTCGCCTAAGACCATCGGAAAACACATATATAATTACATACTGTTTTTGTGATTAATCACTATGCTTTAATTATGTTCAATTTGTAACAATGAAAATACATCCTGCATGTCAGATATTTACATTACGATTCACAACAGTAGCAAAATTACAGTTATGAAGTAGCAACGAAAATAATTTTATGGTTGGGGGTCACCACAACATGAGGAACTGTATTAAAGGGTCGCCACATTAGGAAGGTTGAGAACCACTGTTTTAGACAATTATAGGTAAAGAAATGTGTGTTTCAAAATTGTTTTGTGGGTAACTTTTCACAGCTTCCTCAAAATGGATAAAAAAAAAAAAAAAAAACAAACAGAAAATAAGGTGACATCACTTGCAAAAGCCCTCGGCAGTTTGTGACCCAGCAAAACCCCCAGGCACTGCCAGGCCATCCCAATGCACTGCCCATGGGAAGGTTCCACTCTTCAAAAGACTATTCACAGCCATCCCACACACACACAAACTTACTCCAGGGTGATGACCTTCCATTGACCTTTCAATGAGGGAAACAAAAATGTCCTGCTTTTCCCACCACTCCCTCTTTGGGACTCTTGGTAGCTGTAAACCACAATCCCAGTTGTCCTTTCCATTATGAATGACTAACAACACCTGTGCTTTGGACCCCATTCCCCTTTCTTTCCCACGCCAACCTCTTCATTTCCATCAGTATACCAGTGTGCTGTAGAATCTCCTATCTTTATAAAAGAAAACCACACAGGAAATCCTCCTTCGATTTTATAACCATCCCTGGCTACTTCATTTTTCAGCTTCAGAGCAAAAGTCCTTAAGCGTTGCCTATACTGGTTTCTCCACTTTCTCACCTGTCATTTTCTCCTCAACCCATTCCCATTGGGCTTCCCCACACTTCAATCTGCTTTGTCAAGAATGTCAGTGAGCTTGAGGCTGCCTGTCCAGGGTGAACTCTGTTTTTGTCTTGCTTGGCCTCTCACCAGGTTTGGACATGGTGGTCCCTCCCTCTGTCTTAAAACACTGTGCTCTCTTGGCTTCTGTGATCTCCTGACTCTTCCTACCTCACTGGTGGGTCTTCTCCATCTCTTCTACTCACTCTTTTTCTTTGTACAACCTCTTAACTGTTGAGCACCATAAGGCTCAGTGCTGGGCCCTCTTTTCTCTCTCAGTCTCTCCCCAGGAAATCTCACCGGCTCCATGGTTTCAGTACAGCTTATCAGCTCATCAAGACTTAAAATGTTTAGCCAACTGCCTACTGGACTTGCCCACTGCAAACTTAACATGTTCATACAGAAATCTTGGTTCTCCTCTAAGCCTGTTCCTACCCTAGTCTTCCCCAACTCAATAAATGGTACCACTATCCAGCCAGTCTCTTAAGGTGAAAACCTAGGAGGAAGTATCCCTGGTTCCTTTATTCCCATCTCTGCTCATATCTAATACATTAACAAATCCTGATAACACTACCTCTAAAACATGTTTCAATCTATCCAACCTCTTAACTCCTCTGCCAAGACAACCCTGATCCAAGTCCGCATCATCTACCTGAAAACAGCAACCTGCCTGGCCTCTTCATTTCCACCCTTGTCCCTCACATTCCATTGGGCAGGCCTTTGCCAGACTCTTAAAGATAACCAAGTCAAATTGCTTTCTTGCTTAAAAATCTTCAAACATTTCCTGTCGTTCTTAAAGTAAAATCTAAGCTCTCATCCTAGTTTACAAAGACTAATCCCAGCTTACATAGCCTGCTCCTTGCCCACCTCTTTAGCTTCCAATTGCACCCCCTTCCCCAGCCCGCTGCCCTGCCACCTCACTGGTTTCCTTACTACTTCTCTCAAACCCAGGATCATATCCTCCCGAGGGCCTGCGGTAAACATTCTCTCTGCTTGCATTGCCTTTCCCTGAGCTCCATGTGGCTGGCACTGACTGTTCACTCAGTCCAGCTTAGATGTCTCCTCCTCAAAGTGCTCATCCATCTTAAAGTAGCCACTCAATCATTCTCTATCTATTTTTAATTGTATGTATGGCATTTATTATTGTATTTCCTTATTCAATTACTTTTGTCTTCCCTCATTAGAATGTATGCTCCACAGAGAAGGAGAGCCTTATTTATTTACTGCTGTATCCCCTGGGGCCAGGACTGCCTGGCATATGAAGGGGACTTAATAAGCATGTGCTAAGTGAATGACCTGAAGTCTCTAGCCAACAACTGAGAGAGAAGGTTATGTAATGTACTTAAAAATATCAAAGCAACTCCTCTGCCTTTTAAAACACAGCTGTACTCAAGCAGGAAGCCACGTTCTTTTGAAACAATTCCAGTTTAGCAACTGAGAAATATATTTACCTTATTATTACATCATAGGAGTCAATTCTTTCTCCTAACGTCTTGTTCTTCAAAACTCCTCCATTACCAACCACCACGCACCGTTTACATGGCACACTGTTGGGCAAACAGACAAGTGAGAGATTAAGCCATCTGTGACTGAGTGAGTGACTCCCACACCCATTCATACTTTCGGAAACCCAAAGCCACATTTTACTTGTTGCACAAGTAGAAAAAGAACCGGCTGTGACATATATAGGTCTAAGGATGTAATAGAAAGACTTCGAGAATAACAAGATTCGAGAATAACATTGCATAGGAAGTGCATCGTCATTAGCAGCTACTAGTATTGACCCTTATCAGCCCATACACGTTCCCTCATTTGAATCTCATAACCACCCTTAGAGATAAGTAAGCCTGACAGTTCCATTTAACAAAGAAAGAGGTTCAGAAAACTAACATTTCAAAGTCATACTCCAAAGAGATAGAGAACTTTGGATGGAATTTGGATACAGATCTTTGAACCACAAAAACCCCCTTTGACACAGGATTTTGCATGTTAATACTGATGCAAGTGTGTTTATGTTACCCATGTATACATTTTTGTCCTTTATTTTTTTTCTGTGTCCTTGGGATTTTTTTTTCTTTATCGGTTAAGGTATTACATATGTGTCCTATCCCCCCATTGCCTCCCACCTCCCCGCTCATGCCCTCACCCCCCTAGTGTCTGTGTCCATTGGTAATGCTTATATGCACGTACACAAGTCCTTTGGTTGATCTCTCCCTCTTTCCCCACCGTTTCTGCCTTCCTTTTGAGGTTTGATGGTCTGATTGATGCTTCTCTGTCTCTGGATCTGTTTTTGTTCATCAGTTTATGTTATTATATTCCACAAATGAGTGAGATCATGTGATATTTATCTTTCTCCAACTGACTTAGTTCGCTTAGCATAATGCTCTCCAGGTCTATCCATGCTGTTGCAAATGGTAGGAGTTCCTTCCTTACAGCAGCATAGTATTCCATTGTGTAGATGTACCACAGATTTCTAATCCACTCATCTGCTGTTGGGCACTATTTTTTACCAGCATTACCCATTCCCCTGAGATTCTAGCTCTGGGTTCCTGCTGTATCTTGTAAATGTGGAGACAGACAGATGGGATCAGACGAGGACAGTGCAGCTTCCTTTACCTGCCCATGCTCACTTAAATTCCAAACATGTACTGGTCCTTGGAGCTTAACCAATACAAACTAAAAATTCACTCTCTGTTCCTGGCGAAGGGCTGTAAAGCAGGACATGAAGCGGGACTTCTGTTGCTGGCTGGGATCAGCTGAGGAGCATGTATTGTGTACCGTCAGCTTTCAGCAAACAGCCTGGCCCATCTTTCTCCTGGCTCCCACCACCACCCAGCTAGACCTGGAGAAATGACAAAACAGATGGAGTCCTTCTCCTCTAGGGGACAAAGCTACAGAGGGGAAGACCGGTGAGACTGCCCTCATGACATGGAAGTATAAAGAAAACATTTATGCCCTAACCGGTTTGGCTCAGTGGATAGAGCGTCAGCCTGCGGACTGAAGGGTCCCAGGTTCGATTCCGGTCAAGGGCATGTACCTTGGTTGCGGGCACATCCCCAGTAGGAGGTGTGCAGGAGGCAGCTGATCGGTGTTTCTCTCTCATCTATGTTTCTAACTCTCTATCCCTCTCCCTTCCTCTCTGTAAGAAATCAATAAAATATATTAAAACAAACAAACATTTCCTCTAAGAACTAGGAAATCAGCAGACCAGATGAACTGGAATCTGTCAGGCCCTTAGGAAATTCATGAGTAGCAGAACTGCACAAATGCTTAGAGCAGTTAAACGCAGAGAATGCGGAAGTACAGGAACCACTGCAAAGAGCCAAGCATTGGCCCTGTCAGGTTAAGAAGAAACAAGGTACACATTCCCATATGCATGAGATTACCTTTTTGACTGAGAATATATTTAGCTCATCTATTTTATGTGTTTAACACTACATATTTTAAGAATATTTTTACATTTTAATTTGAAACTTAGTTCCCAAAGTTAAAGAGTCATGTCCAAATCAGTGTCTACTTTGTCACAAAAACAAGTATTGCGGAGGGTCTGGTGGGCGTGTCCAACAGGCTTGAGGACCTGCCCCAAACCTCCACCATGGGCCTGTCACAATGCATTCTAGAGATGTTTCTTCTAAAAACGTCTGTCTTTAACTATGAAAGTAACATCTCCAGGTGCTTTTCTATGCACGCCTGACATTCATCCTAACTCCAGGAAGGCAACCTTATGCGCAGCAGGTGGAGGAGCTGGGAGCCCTGGCAAACGGAGCACTTCCCTCTCCAGGCATATGGCCATCGTGCTCACCAGGTCCACCCCATGAGTGCTCTGTAGCAGGGGCAGTTCCCACACACAGGCTTATCTGGCCTTTCCTGCCATAACTTCCGGGTCAGCTTAATGCAAAGTGGAGGCTGAATTTAAAGCTGGCTCCACCACCCCAGTGGAATGCTAAGCATATGGGGCAATGGGGAGGAAGTGGCTAGGAATGGACAGGATGGAAATAACAGCTCTGCTGCTGACAGATAACTTCCTGTGGGGGTGGAGGAGGCTTCTCTACAGTTATGGTAGCTAGACTAGCTCTGTCCTTTGAATGAAGGCTGGAGGCCACTTCCCTGTCAAAGGCCACCTAAGGCCAGGTGGCCCCGGGGCTACAGCTTCCATCCTGGCACCGGGATCCCAGCCTGACCTGACTCCATACCCAACATGCCAGGACAAGAACTCCAGGCCTCAGAGTTCTTATCCTGGTGTCTCAACAAAGGATTCCGACCCACAAACCTAGTATCTGAAGCTGACACCAGTAACAGGTTAACTCAGCTCAGTTCCAGACACACAGCCAGTCACATAATCACTGCTCAGCAACGAACAGGCCAGCTGAGCCTCCGTGTTCACTGGAGTCCCTTCAGTGTTGCCTGTCGTCTCAGACCGGGTTACAGCTGGTCATGGAGCCCGGGAGCATGTGCGGCCCAGAGAGCCCCACGAAATGAATACTACTACCTGTCATACTAATACGTCCCACCCCTGATCCCCACTCAAGGCCCTGCACCTCCTCCCACACCACACCTTCCAGCCAAGACAAAATGGGGGAGTGGAGGGCTGCAGGCAAATCTCTTTCACTTTTCCTCCTGGTAAGGGATATTGCAAAGACCCACACATTTTCCTGGGGATCCTATATAACACTAGGAATGGTTTGGGGGTACCCTTAGGACTACCCTTTGAGAGTATCTTTTTAAAATTGATTTTAGAGAGAGGAAGGGGAAGTGGGGAGAGAGAGAAATATTGATCAGTTGCTTCCTGTATGTGCCCAACCAGGGATCGAACCCCCAATGTAGGTATGTGCCCTGACCTGGAAACAAACCCGAGGACCTTTTGTGATATAGAAGGCGCTCCAACCCACTGAGACACCGACCAGGGCTGGCATTAATGGCTTATCTACAGCTGGTGTTCACAGTGCCGCCATGACTCGGGAATATGTGATATACCAATGCATGGTCTGAACCACACACCTTGCAGCTCATTGCTTCCCTCTCCCAGCAGATACCCATATCCGACTAAAGGAGCGATTCGTCCTCTCCTTGGTTTCATCCAGTTGGTCCAGGCTCCCGTTCTTCCTAGTCCTGAGGTGTGAAGCAATAGCTTGCCGTGTCCCTGGGGTGTCTGTGTAACTCCACCACATTTAATTAGCACAGCCTTCATGCACAAATAGCTGCAGTGAATGTGAGCCTCTAGAGGCCAGAATGGTGTCACTTCTATTTCTGTATTCTCCAACCTAAAGCATCCGACTCACAGGCTGTGCGTTTAGAAATTGGTTTGGTTGTTACATTAAGTGTGGCGGTCATTTCCTGACTTTTGAGTCTGGAGAAGCAGAGAGCGGTTCCTCCTTTCCCCACCCTGGAAGCAGGTAGGGAAGAGCACAGGCCCCAAACTGCTCATCTGGAAAACAAACTCATTCCAGGGGGCCTGGACCTGCTCATGGGAAATCTGGAAAGCTGCTGACAGTGCAATGGTAAGAGGTTACACTCCCCCAGGTGAGAGGCATGTTCCTTATCAGGGCAGGCCGATCCAGGAGAGGCACTACCTCACGCAGAGGGAAACATCATCATCATCATGTAGAGCAGTGGTTCTCAACCTTCTGGCCCTTTAAATACAGATCCTCATGTTGTGACCCAACCATAAAATTATGTTCGTTGCTACTTCATAACTGTAATGTTGCTACTGTTATGAATCGTAATGGAAATATCTGATATGCAGGATGGTCTTAGGCGACCCCTGTGAAAGGGTCGTTCGACCTCCAGCAGCATCATATGCATTCACATACATCACTCCATCTTCAACAACCTATGGCAGTTCCCACTGGTCCTTTTCCCTCGTGCCTTGTCACCGAGCCCTGCTTTCATGAGCCTGCTGATGGTTGGTCTAGAGGTGGCCCTGTGACCCATCCCTGGGCAGTAAGAGATAAGGCAGTCTATTGGATGCTCTGGAAAAGATTTTACTCCCAGCAAGAGAATGACTGAGCAGAACCCTTTCCTTTTATCCACCCCGTCCTTCCTGCTCAGATAACGCTGTGTAATGACATCAAGTTAGGGCAGCTGCTGTTTCTCGCAACGAACAGGGAAAGGCAGAGAGCTCCAGAGATGCTGCCACTCCCCAGCAGATATGACTAAAGGAGTGCCCACACCCACAGCTACTCCATAGAGGTGCAGCCTGTCCACAGTCCAGCTGTACAATGCACCATTCAGGTACTGCATGTGTGAACTGTACTCCCAGGAGCATGCAACCCAGTCTGTGCAGCCATAAGCAGGTCCCCCCACCCCACACCCCCAGAGGAACCGCAAGCCTGCAGATCCAGTAACCACATACCTATGCGATGCGGGAGTTAAAGGTCTGCTTCTTTAACATCACGTTTACTCAGGAAGATTGTCACTTGCAGCCCAAAGATCCCAAAACACTGTGCAAGGTACTGCAGCTGGAGACCTGACTGCTGGTTGTGCTACCCCTGACAGCATCTCTGGGACCTTGGCCTAGTGACCTAACCTTTCACCTCAGTCTGCCCTT